AGCTTACATGTCACTTCTCAAAGGAGCCTTGGCTGGCCATCCCATCTCCTCACCTCCATGTACTCTCATGTCACCTCCAGACTTACCACAAACTGAAATTTTTTGATTCTTCTGTGAAGGTATTCTTATTTATTGTCTGCCTTTCCTTACTACAATGCAAGTTCTCTGAGGATACACAGATCATTGCTGTAACCTCACCATCTAGAAGTAGGCCTAGCCCATAGTAGTTGCTCAATAAATGTTGGTTGAATAAGGGTATAAACATGCATAAAAATACATGTATTCACTCACTCAACCAACATGAGTTCTGTTTTCCACCAGCTTAGCCCAATTTCTTGTACACAGTAGCCAAATTTACTTAAGGCTTACTCGTCCCCTCTCAAGAAGTTCATATCTTAGATGTGTACCCACATAACTGCAATAAAACGTGATCGTAATAATTGCCAGATGAGTGACACACACAGGCTACCGTGAGTATGCAGATGAGGTAGACATCATTTCAAACGTAGGTCATCTGGGAAGACTTCAAGGAGAAGATAGAATTTGAGTTGGGTCTTGAAGAATAGGTGGGATTTGGAATGGGAAGAGATGAGAGGTGGAAGTGGGGGCTTTAGGGAGAGGAAAAGAGAAGGCAGCAGTGAAATGGTAAAAAGTGCAGGGCAAGCTGCGGGGGAGACGTGAGGAGATCATCTGGGCTGGCTCAGGCCACCCATTTAGGGCAGACAAGAGCAGGGAGAAAGGAAGTCAGAATCAGTCAGAAGTCCCACCATGAGCAAGTGAAGGCCACAGAGGCAAAAAGCAGACTTTCCCAAGGCCTACACTTGTGAATCTACAAGCCAGAGACCTATGTCGGTATCTAAGCTTGATTCTGTTTGCATAAATACATATGTGTGTATATGAGCAAACGTGTACCATGCAGTGGATTACAAAGCTATCAGCTGTAATGAGGTACTTAATAGATTTAACTGATATCAAACATTTGTACTCTTTTTAATTTTTAACATCTTCCAAATATTTTTTGAAATGTTATGTTGTCCTTATCAGAAAGTCACAAATAAGGTTACATTGCTCAACCTTAATTTCTTATATCTGATGTTAACTCAGATCACTATATATACATACATATACATATATATGGAAACCCTGGTGGTGGTGTGGTAAAGAGCTACAGCTGCTAACCAAGAGGTCAGCAGTTCAAATCTGCCAGACACTCTCGGAAACCCTATGGGGCAATTCTACTCCATCCTTTAGGTTCACTATGAGTCAGAAGCCACTTGACAACAATGGGTTTGGTTTTTTTTTTTTTTTTTGGTTTATATATGTATATATATATACATAAAATCTGTGTTTTCTAGCATCTAGGATCCATTATGTAACAAATACTAATGAAATAGAAGAACCAAAAAACCAAACCCATTGCTGTCGAGTCGATTCTGACTCATAGCGACCCTATAGGGCAGAGTAGAGCTGCCCAGAGAGTTTGTGAGGAGCGCCTGGTGGATTTGAACTACCCGCCTTTTGGTTAGCAGCTGTAGCTCTTAACCACTATGCCAACAGGATTTCCAGGATATAGAACAGAGGACTTTTACTTCTAGCAATTGTATTTGCTGTTAAATATCCAGAGGCTTAAAAGTAAATATTTTTTCTACCCTGATATTTATTTTTCAAACGAAAAGCTTGTGAAGTTGTTACATTTGGGGGTTTAAATTTAATTTAAATAGCCCTATTTCCTTGGATAATTTGCCTCCTTTTTTCAGATATTTTAGAGATGTCACAGGTGGTGATTCAAATATCCCACACACCCCCGGAGTTAATGAACGTCAGTCCACTTTACGGCTCTCTTAACGTCAGTATTAACCTCTTTACATTTCATGAGACACTGAATCCCGTGTAAATACAATCAAATTAGATCTGTTAGTATTCAATGAGGAGATGTTTGGGTTCAGCTGGGCCAAAGGCAGGTTAATTAAAATAGTTTTATTTCTAAAAAAAAAAACTTACTCTACGTACATGTGTATATATAATACCCTGTTGTTGTTGCTAGTTGCCAGCGAGTCAGCCCCAACTCATGGCAACCCCATGTGCAAGAGAATAAAACCTTGCCCGCCCTTTCGCCATCTTCATGATCACTGGCATGCTCAAGTCCATTGCTGCAGCCACTATGTATTCTGAGTGCCTTCCAACCAGGGAACTTATCTTCCAACACTATATCAGACCATGTTCTGTTGTGATCCATAGGATTTTTATTGGCTAATTTTCGGAAGCACATTGCCAGGCCTTTCTTCCTAGTCTGTCTGAGTGTGGAAGCTCTGCTGACACGTGTCCACCATGGGTGACCCTGCCGGCATTTGAAATGCCAGTACCATATCTTCCAGCATCACAGCAACATGCAAGCCACCACAGTACGACAAACTGACAGACAAGTGGTGGATGGAACACCCTACCCTTTTAAACATGCGCTCATATTCCGTTTATCAGTTTATCCTCAAAGCAGAGCTGGAAAGTGGACAAGGCAGGTGAGATGAGCCTCATCTTCGGGGGTGAGAAGCAATTATAAAGAGCCAACAGGGAGTTCTGAAGGCCACACAGTAGATGCAGTTCCTATCAGGGGGCAAAAAAATAAAAAAAAATTTTAAAAAACCCATTGCCATAGCGGTCGATTCCAACTCATGACAACCCCATGTGTTACAGAGTAGAACTTCTCCACAGGGTTTTCTTGTCTGTACTGTTTATGGAAGCAGATCACCAGGCCTTTCTTCTGTGGAACTGCTGGGTGGGTTTGAACCACCATCCTTTAGGTTAGCAGCCAATTGCAAAGCACTTGCACCACTGGGGCTCATTCAATCAGGGAGCAGCAGTACCCAAAGGAACTGATGTACCTTTTCGCCTTAGTTCAATCTGTGAAGGAGAGAGAAAGAGTGGGAGATAGAGATCGTTATTAATTGTTATTACTATTAACTGATTATTCCATCAATTCCATCTGCATCTGGAAAGCCAGCAGAACAGTGGCCTTCCATGGACTTGCCTTGCCAGCTGTTGGCCCAAACATTATCATTGATTTTGAAAACACACCAGAAACCAAGTGTCCTTCCCATCCCCTCACTGCTACCAAAACAAACAATAAAAATAAAGTAAAACAAAATAAAAAATAAACAGAAAAACCTGCTGGATAATCCAAAAAAGGTAAACGCTGCCAGAATCAGTTACGTAATATGTTTAAAAATCCTCCCCTGAGGCTATAACCCCAACTCTTGCCATGTCCTTGGGATCCCGGGCTGCCCCTGTGGACCCTGGCAAGCTGACAAGAGAGTAAACGAATCATCTTTTGCTTTTCCTCCTGCTAAAAATTAGACACAGAGATTAATGGGGGAAATGTGGGAAGAAACAAGGTGACTGAGTTGCTCTGAGCTGGATTTGGCTACTGCTGGGCCAGTGGTTCTCCAGGTGTGTGATCCAGGACCCGCAGCATCAGTAGCACCTGGCAACTTGTCGGAAATGCACATGTTTAGGCTCCACCCAGACCTCCGGAATCAGAAACTCTCGAGGGGGGAGGAATCAGATGACTCTGATGCACAACCACATTTAGACCAAGGACCCTTGGTGGCACAGTGGTTAAGAGCTCAGCTGCTAACCAAAAGGTTGGCAGTTCCAATCCACCAGCCGCTCCTTGGAAACCCTATGGGGCAGTTCTACTCTGTCCTATAGGGTCACTATGAGTCAGAATCGACTCTACAGCAAGTGAAGAATTCAGCCTTGCTTGCCCTACTCAGTGTCAGTTCTGCCCCCCACCAGCTTGCCCATCCCTCCTGCCCACCCACGCCACCCGTCATCCCCTATAGTTCTAAGCAAAGATGACAGCCATCCAGCTGGGCCCAAGTGATTGTGATGCCTTGATCATATTCACAACTTCCTGGAAGACAGGTGGGGAGGCAGGCAAGGGGAGTATTACTAAAACCAAAACTCTTTGCAGGCGAGTTGATTCTGACTCATAGTGACCCTATAGGACAGAGTAGAACTGCCCCACAGGGTTTCCAAGGCTGTCATCTTTACAGAAGCAGACTGCCACATCTTTCTCCCTCGGAACGGCTGGTGGGTTAGAACCGCCAATCTTTCAGTTACCAGCCCAGGGCTTACCCACTGTGATACCAGGGCTCCTAAAAGGAGGTTAGAAGGAGTAGAAATCCTGTTCCCTGCTGTCAAAAAGTTTACAGGTGTTGTAAAGGTATCTATCACACAACTTTTGCCAATTCAACTTTTCGCGGGGGGTGAAACTTGTTGACGGCAGTCGCACTGATCAGCTGTGCAGCCCCACCCTTGATAGCGTGATTTTTCCAGAGCCATGGACTGAGGCTTGTTTCTCCACGGGCGGCGACCCCCCACTCCGCATCACTCCCGCCCCTGGTATCCATTAGTAAACACTGGCATCTCTTAAAATAAAAGAAAGAAAAGTTGACAGGGTGTAGAAGTCTTGAAGTGGGGGTCAGAAGCTCCTGTGTTCCAGGAAAATTGCTGTGTGGTGGGAAGAGCATGTGTGTGGAGTCAGGGGAACTTAGATTCCAGTCCTGGCCCCCTGACCTCAGGTGATTGTCCTCCACCTTCCTGAGCCCGTGTTTGCTCAGCTGTAAATCAGTACCGTGTGAGGACTACCTGAGATCATGCACACAAAGCGAGGCACTGGCTCACTTGAAGGCCACAAGTAAATGGAGGTTATCATCACAGTGACAGGAAAGGGCAGTGGAGAGGAACGTTCCTGACAGGAAGCACTAGTGACAACAGGAGATACACTGAGAGAGGCCACATCATGGAGGTCCCTGAATGCTAGGCCAAAGGGCTAGATGGCTCCGGTAGACATCAGTCACAGATCTGAGCTGCTCAAACTTTGATGTGCCTGCAGATCACCTAGGGGTCTTGTTAAAATGCTAATTCTGCCACATAAGAACTATAATAAATAAAGATCCCGTCAAGTCTTTGTTTAAATCTTTCCTTTTTCTCCTCCTTAGCCCGAAGATATTGGACAAGCACCAATAGTAAATGCCCCAGAAGGTGGAAAGGTTGACTTGGAAGCCTTCAGCCATTTTACAAAAATCATCACACCAGCAATTACCAGAGTGGTGGATTTTGCCAAAAAGTTGCCTATGTTTTGTGAGGTGAGGAAATTCTTTTTCCTTCTGTGCTATTTTTCATTATAACTCCACCAGTTTCCAGGAATATTGAGTATTATGTACAATTTAATATTAATTAGTAAGGATTTAGTCATATGAAAGCAATGTCAGTACAAAATTAAAATACACTCTATTTAATTTTTATTTTCCCATCTTCTGTCTTCAGTCATCATTCATTAGCTGGTCCATGTGAGTTCGATAGAGATCCTATCCATCCACCTAACTCCAGGCATAGGGAAATAATGATATAAATAACTTCCATTGATTCAGCACCTACTGTGCACTAGTTACCAGGCTCAATGCTGCCCGCATTAAATCCAGTTCTTATAACCCCATTTTACAGATAGGGAAAATTAAGATCAAAGAGATTCGGTTAAATTTTCCAAATATGGCGCCATGGTTTGAACCATGGTCTTTCCACTACAAAACACTGCTTCCTTTACCCTGGTACGATGGCCATGTGGTCATTTTTAATCCTCAAGAATAAGTTAAATGGCATCCACAGAGTAAGGTTCTTCTTAATATCTCCTTAAATCTTTTTTCTTAGAAGCTCAGCCTTTCTTGTCCCATCTTCAGAGAAACCTTCATCCACCAGAGTTTGCACACTTTCCCTTTGGGGCACTTCATCTCTAACTTTGGCAGCCCTACTGTGTGGTAGCTGAGGACATGGGCTATGCAGTCAGTTACATGGACAAGAATCCTAGCTCTGTGACTTAGTAGCTTAGACAGTGATTTAATGTCTTCAAACCTCAGTTATCTCATCTTTAAAATGGGAATCATAATAGTACCTGCCTGTAAGGCTGTTGGGAGAATTAAAATGGGATAATATGTGTAAAGTGCTTGGCACAGTGCCTGGGTCAGAATAAGTATTCCATAAATTTTAGCTGATAATACTGCTATTATTTCATCTATTATCATTCTGCCCCAGCCTTCCTTTTTTGAATCAAGCGGGGCTGATTAAGTTTTCTGGAGAATGCTTCCCTTTGGTAAACCTCATGAGGTACCAGCCTATTGCTCTTCACACCTCCAAGGGGACCCAGAAAGATACCAAATGGAGAGGGCCGCGTACTGCTGAGAGCCTCTTGCGCAAGCTACGGAGTGATAAGTGATGCTAGTCTCACCTAGAACGACACTGAGTTTCCTCACCTGGAATGACTCCCTGCCTTTGCTTCCTAGCTCATTTGTGTCTTTGAGTTTGCAATAAAGGGAGCCCAGCTGGAATCAGAGAGACCTCAGACACTGATGGGAACACTTCCCATTGCCTATGTCTGAGCCTCCACAAACACCAGGAGGACAATGCAGTAGGCTTCAGGATGCTGGGAGACAGCGTCTTCCTCCCTCTTACCCTAAGCTTCACTGTGTACCTGATACAACCAGAAAGCACTTTTGTCAACTATATGGGTGTGTGTGTACATACACATACACACATATACACACACAAACCTATAGGTATACGTTGGGAGATTTAAATGGGATAATATATGTAAAGTGCTTGGCACAGTGCCTGGGTCATAATAAATATTATTATGATCATAATATGAACTATATTAGTATAGTGTTTACCATAATATACTTTCTGTTTATGAAACTACATTTCTTTTACTTATTGAAGAGTAAGCACATATCATGAAAGTGCATCTCAGTGAATTTTCACAAACTGAACCCACCCACATAATCAACATTGAGATAAAGAAACAAAACATGACCAGCACCCCACTGTAACTAACTTATCACCCTCAACTGTAGAAGATATCATTTGAGTATTCTTTTACTAGATGATTTTTAATGACCTCATAATAATCCAAAGAATCTACCACCACCACCAGTTAGCATAGGTCATTTCAACACGTGATGACCCCGTGTGTCAGAGGAGAACTGTGCTCCACAGGGTTTTCCATATAGCTGGTTTTTTTGTGTGTTTGCTTTTTAATTGTACTTTAGATGAAAGTTTACAGAGCAAACTGGTCTCTCATTAAACAAGGAATGCACCTATTGTTTTGTGACCTTAGTTGCCAACCCCACAACATGTTAACACTCTCCCCTTCTCGACCTTGGGTTCCCCAGTACCAGCTTTCCTGTCCCCTCCTGCCTTCTCATCCTTGCCCCTGAGCTGGTGTACCCATTTAGTCTCATTTTGCTTTATGGGCCTGTCTAATCTTTGGCTGAAGGGTGAACCTCAGGAGTGACTTCATTACTGAGCTAAAAGAGTGTCCAGGGGCCATACTCTAGGGGTTTCTCCTGTCTCTGGCAAACCAGTACATCTAGTCTTCTTTTTTTTCTTTGATGAGTTAGAATTTTGTTCTGAACTTTTCTCCAGCTCTGTCCGGGACCCTCTATCATTATTCCTGTCAGAGCAGCCGGTGGTGGTAGCCGGACACCATCTAGTTGTGCTGGACTCAGTCTGGTGGAGGCTGTGGTAGTGGTGGTCCGTTAGTCCTTTGGACTAATATTTCCCTTGTGTCTTTGTTTTTCTTCATTCTTCCTTGCTCCAGATGGGGTGAGACCACTGGAATATCTTAGATGGCCACTCACAAGCTTTTAAGACCCCAGACACTACTCACCAAAGTAGAATGTAAAATATTTTCTTTATAAACTGTGTTATGCCAGTTGAGCTAGACTTTCCCCGAATAGTTGGGTTTTTAGAAGTAGATCACCTGGGCTTTCTTCAGAGCTGTCAGCTTTTCAGATAGCAACCAAGCATGTTAACCATTTGTACCATCCAGGGACTCCATTCCAAAGAATAAAAACCAAAGCAAAACCAGTTGCTGCCGAGTTGAATCTGACTCATGGAGTCTCTCAATGGTGCAGACAGTTAACATGCTTGGCTGCTAACCAAAATATTGGAGGTTCAAGTCCACTCAGAGGCACCTCAGAAGAACGCTTTGGCAATCTACTTCTGAAAAATCAGCCACTGAAAACCCTATGGATGTAACCAATGCCACTGAACAATTTGTGTGGAAATTGTTAAATGGGAACCTAATCTGCTGTGTAAACTTTCATTGAAAACACAATAAATATTATTTTAAAAAACAGAAGAAAACCCTATGGAGCACAGTTCTACTCTGACACACAAGGGGTTGCCATTCCAAAGACTAGATCAACCATAATTTAGGTTATTTGCTTTTATTGGATCTTTAGTTCATTTCCAATTTTTTACTAATATAAATGTGCTGCAATGAATATTCTGGTGGCTATGCCCTGCTCCCATTACTGACTATTCCTAAAGGTAAATACTAGAAGTGGAATTGAAAGATCACAGTATATGTACCTTTCACGACTTTCTATATGTGTGGCCAAATTGCCCACAAGAAAGGTTGTCCACTCTCACCAGTTGTGACCGAGAGTGTTCCCTTCCTCTCACTCTTGCCAACTGTGGACGTCACCTTTCTTTTTTTGTTTGGTTGGTTGGCTTTGTTTTCCCGGACTGTTCTTAGTCCCCTTTTTCTGGGCTGTGTCCCTCAGCCCAAGTCCTTGGTGTCTGAGGAGGGATTCTATTGAGTTAGCTACCCTTACAGTTTGAGCCAGCCTACCACTCGTGCATTCCCCCTTTGAATGCCCACCAAAAATGTTTACTTTTTTAAATGTAAAACTCAGGTAAACCAACCACTAGAGAGATAACAGTTTTTAAAAAAAGGAAAAGAAACCATCTCCAGTAACGTACACACCATGCTCTTAACATGTCTCTGGTGAGGGTGAGGGTGAGGGATCAGCATGGAACTTTCCAAGTCCATGTGTGACGGACAAGCTTATCTCTTCACGTTTTCCTCAGAAATTTAAGCCTGCTTCATTTTCATGATTCGGTCTTTCTTTCAACCTTGATATTTTGTAGTCTCTACATTGCTGTGGAAAATATTGTTTTGTTTCCAGCAAGTTTGGGGCCATTTTTACAGCACAAATGCATGTGCTTCCGCCATCTGTCGGCTCCAGGGGACCTTTATTAACCTTTTACACTTTCTTGGGAACTCAAAAGAGGGAAATGAACTGTGTAAGCGAGCTCCTGAGCTACCTGTGAAAATGAGTTGGAGATCACAGCTGGTCTTGGAGCCAGGGGCTTCTGCCAGAGCCAGTTTGATGCCTCTGCTGTTCAAACTGTGCTCCTGGTGATGGTTCTGCTAAGACCCGTATCAACCCACCCAGCAAGGTTTGTGTGACACCTGGGGCTTGGCAAGGCTCTAAACACATTGCTGGTGGAACTGCCAGTAACACACAGAACCACTCACAGGTGCTCGCCTGTCTAACAGCAGCTCTCTGAGACCCCAGTGCAGGTATCCCAGAGGGCAGGGCACCTTCGCCTTTGCTAGTCAAACTGAGCGATGCTTTCTTAAGAAGACAGGAAAGAGTCTGTGGAGTATCCCTGCCTCTTGTACCCTTGTCTGAGCAGTCTCACAGTGAAAGCATTTCAGCAGGTGACTGAGGGAGATTATTTGCCCACATGTTGAAACAACTCTCACTAGGGATTTGCATCTCTTGAAGAAAAAGAGCACATGGCATAGTTTTTAAACCATTAGTGATACCTTTGCAAATACGTACTCGGCTTTTGTTTACATTTGATCTAATTATCAAAAGTTAATAGGTTTTTTTTTAAAAAACGGTCTACTTTATCTATAGTCAGACTAGTCTACGAAAGTGGGGCCTGCCCAAGTGACAGATACTTTGTGACAGGTAAAACAATACATGGTTGAATCTGATGAGATCCATGCCAGTGGTTCTCAAGAGAGGGGATTGGGTAACCAGCAGCATCACCTGGAAACTTGTGAGAAATGCAGAGTCTCCGGCCCCACCCCAGACTCACCGAATGGGAAACTCAGGGGGTGGAGCCCAGAGATCAGTGTTCAACAAGCCCTCAGGTGGTTCTGGTAAAGATGAACTCGGAGAACTACTGTCCTTGGTATTAAAGCCATCCTCTGCCTACTTTCTTCAGCCAATTCTCCAATACCTGTAGTGGACCTACCCGAGTTTGAGTTTTCTATTTCCTACTGTGCTCTTGGGCCAGGAACCCAGGGAAGTAATTGAGGAGTACCAATTAGAATCTAAACAAAAGCAAATCACAGAGTTTTGTTTTGTTTTGTTTTAATGGTGGGAAGGAGAGAAATTATACATGTGGATTCCAGAACCAAATATGAATGACTTTTATTCTGTAGAAAAAGCTAAGTAACTGGGAATTAAATGGTAAGGTGGCTAGGCTGAGTTAGTGAAATGTATGAGATTAAGGGCTTGGCTGCTAACCAAAATGTCGGCAGTTCAAATCCACCAGCTGCTAAAGGTCACTATGAGTTACAGTCAACTCAACGGCAATGGGTTTGGTTTGATTACATATCCATTGTTTATGGAAGTTAGTCATACCTCAAGTACTTCAAGAGTCTGTTCTTATAGTCTCTTGACATTATATTTTAACAGACCTAGCTTCAAATCCCAGCCTCACCCACAAAACATTCCTGTGACCCCTAACATGTTATTTAATCTCTCGGTGCCTGGGTTTCCACATCTGTAAATAAAATTGGAATTAGAATATTTATCTCCTTGTATTGCTATGAAGATTAAATAAGGTGCATTTATCAAAAACACCCATTAACTAATGGTCTTTGAAATTATTTTGATAATAACATTTAATTAAACATTCTTCCCCTCCAAAAAATAAAATTCAGGGTTTTTATTACTTCGCTTAGCAAGTCCTTTTTTATATTGTATTATTATTAATGTCATCGCATTACCACATTATCGGCAAATTCTAATTAACACAGTGACCAAATGAGATTAAACCTAATTATCTACTGTTTAGTATTTTTCACACCAATATTGCTGTCTTCTAGCTCCAAGTCAACAACTGACTCTACTGTTTAGCTGGCAACTGTGCTTCTCTTTGCTTTTTGTTTTTTTGATACAAAATGGCTGACATTTAAATGAACTCAACCCACTGCCTTTGAGTTGATTCTGGCTCATAGTGACCCCATAGGGTTTCCAAGGCTGTAAATCTCTGTGGAAGCCAACTGGCACATCATTCTCCCACGGAGCCGCTGCTGGTTTCGAACAACCGACCTTTCGGTTAGTAGTCGATGGCTTTAACAATTGCATCACCAGGGCTCCTTATTTGATATCTACACACAGTGGTTAAACGTTCGGCTGCTAACCAAAAGTTGGAAGTTCGAATCCACCAGCTGTTCCTTGGAAATCCTATGGGGCAGTTCTACTTTGTCCTATAGGGTCCCTATGAGTTGGAATCTACTCAAGGGCAATGGGTTTGGTTTGAGGGTCTTTGGTATAGCAGGCATGGTGCCATGTGTCAGAGAAGACAGAGCTGAGTTTAACACAAACCCTACTTTCAAGAAGTTATCTGTCAGTCGGAGGTTATAATACAAAGCCCAAACTAAGGGGTTATAACACAGTTTTACGCATGACTGCAATACCAGTTGGAGATATACACCTCTCATGAAAGAAACGCAAACACCGTAAAAGAAATGCAAACTACTGAGATTAAAACTGATGAAGATTACAACCGACTTGGAGTACTTACAGTAGTTGCTGAGAGGCAAAGAATCCAGGACTAATGTTGATCACAGAATGTTGTTTCTGTTGGTTTTAAGATACTGCATGTTGTTCCTGACTGATGCTTGTCCACTTGTTCTTTGCTGATGTGGCTGGTTCTTTTCAGCTGCCATGTGAAGACCAGATAATCCTCCTCAAAGGCTGCTGCATGGAGATCATGTCCCTTCGCGCTGCTGTGCGCTATGACCCAGAAAGCGAGACTTTAACCCTGAATGGGGAAATGGCAGTGACGCGGGGCCAGCTGAAAAACGGGGGTCTTGGGGTGGTATCGGACGCCATCTTTGACCTGGGCATGTCCCTTTCTTCTTTCAACCTGGACGACACTGAAGTAGCTCTTCTTCAGGCAGTTTTGCTGATGTCTTCAGGTAAGTATGCACAGACTTATGAAGAGCTTTTGCTTGTCTAGGACTAATACAGATCACTTGATGAGTTTTCAGTCTCCCTGTAGCTTCAGAATTGTATCTTGCTCTTCTTCAAGGAACAATCAGGGGTTTGCCGATGAACTGGGAACTGAAGGAGGATGTGAGGTGTCACATGCGTTTTGCAGTCTCCTGGGGTAGTGGGATGGAGCCAAGAAGGCCATCTGAAAGATTCCACGAAATGTCCCACCTTCAGTGGATACTATTCAGCCTGTCTTGTGTTAGCTGGCCAAGCCTGCCTCCTCCTAGTTTTATATGTACAGGATATGGATGTGAGTTAGTCTACTGGAAACCATGAGTGAGATGTAGAATCGGCTGCAACTCAAGTGTCAGTTATCCATTGCTGTGTAACGCATCACCTCAAAACTCACTGCTTGAAACATCCAAGATGGCTGAGGCCGGGGCTGAAATACCAAACACAGCTCAGGCCTCTCTCCACGTGGCCTCTCCTCTATGGAATAGTTGGACTTTACATAGCTGCTAGATTCCAAGAGGGAACATTCCAAGCACATGAAAGCAGAAGGTCCAGCCTTCAGTCACACAGCATCACTTCTAGCACATTCTGTGAGCCCAAACATGATTCAGTAGTCCACCTCTAGATGGAAGGAATGGAAAAGAACTTGTGGCCTTCTTTCATCTGCCATAGCTCATTAGCCAGCCCTGTAATTCCCATCAGTAAAGGGTAGATAATAATAACACTGATACTTCTTTCTTCAGGGATCATGTCATAATAAATAAGAAATGCAAAATGCACCGGTCTTTAAGGAAAGCTAGTCTTTAAGCAGAAGGTGGTTCAGAGTCATCTTGGGCATTTTCAGAGCACCCTACATTTAGTTCTGCCTCAGCACTTGTTGCTTTATAACTCTCAGCTTACTTGCCTGTCCCTCCCTCTCAACTATTTCTTTTTTGAAAACAGTGATGTATCTAATTATACACCTAGCACCTAGACCAGTGTTTAGGAGAATTCAGGAAATGGTTGAATATCCAGGCAAAATCTGAGTCATAAGTAAAATGAGAATTCTTTGTAGAGTTGATATTCTCCTAGTTAACTTAGTACAATTATGCTTAAAGAATGAAAACTTGTAGCTTATCTAAGGACTACCTGTGTGACCTTGGGTGAGCCCCCAGCTTCTCTGGGCTTTAGTTTCTTTTAAAATAAACAAATTGAACTAAATAAGTGGAAGTATACTCCTGGAGGGGAGTCCTTTGGGTGGTGCAAATAGTTAAGTGCTCAGCGGCTGACCGAAAGGGTGGAGGTTCAAGTCCATCCAAAGGCAACCTGGAAAAAAGGCCTGGTGATCTACTTCCGAAAAATCAGCCATTGAAAACCCTATGGAACACGGTTCTACTCTGACACACATGGGGTAACCATGACCCGGAATCAATGGAACAGCAACTGATTTTTGTTCTTGTGTTTTGTTTTTGGTTTATACTCCTGGAGGGATGCAAGGTGATTTTTTGGTGAAATTTTGGTGGTAGAATTTTTAAATAAAGTTAAGTCACCTAGTGAGAAAGATATTTCTTTTACAGTTCTCTTTCTGATTATGGCCCCTAAATAAGGCAAGGAAAGAGATTCAGTTTGTTGTTAGTCTGTCTTTAACACCTGTCTAACTCTTACTAACCTCTCTTCCTAACAGAGAGAGTGGATCACAGGCATAGTCTTTAGTAAGAACCTTGAGCTAAAATTTAATAAAGTTTCTTGCTGTGTACCTATTTTTGTAGTTATCTTCATTTATGACAAATGGTTTTTTATTTATTGAGTGATATAAAGTTTCCTCTGTAGTAAATGAATTTAAACAGATTATTAAGCAAGTAATCGAAGTAAGGTAGATGAAGAGAGTATATGAAGATGGTAAGAATTATAATACCAAGCACTGTCAAACGCTTAACTGAATAATTCTTTTCAATTCTCTGATTTTATGGGGGCTGTCACTGCCTGACAGCCCCGTGATATACCTTAATCACTTTTTAAAATCTTCTTTACCCTAGTGACCCAGGCACTTGTCATTAATATTGCCGGGACCAGGAAACTATTATAAAGCACTTTACATCTGGCAAATAATACCTACATATCAGTGCTCCCAGGCTCTAATTCAGGGGCGGATCAACCTGTAAGCAAGGTACGCACGGGCTTGCTTGTGTTTACTTACTAATCTGTAGTGCACATGGGTTTGGAAAAAACAGAAAACGGGTGCACAAAAACGGGTGAAATTGTGCACAACGGATTAGTAAGTAAGCCTGTGCGTACCTTGCTTATTCAGTAATCGGTCCCTGCTCTAATTCAGCCTCAGAACTGTCTTCTAAGCCACATGGTTGGTTTGTAACACTTCGGTTACACAATATGTAGACCTTTACTTCAAGGTCTTTTCCAGAAGCTAAAACCAAAAAATCAAGCCAGTTGCGGTCAAGTTGGTTCCAACTCACGGCAACTCCAAGAGAACGGTGCTCCATAAGGCTTTCAATGGCTGTGATCTTCAGGAAGTTGCCAGGCCTTTCTTCTGAGGTGCCTATGGGTGGACTCGAACCACCAACCTTTCAGTAAATCCCTGGGTCCTACAGCAATAAACAGAGAGCTAAACTGGAAATGATCCAAAAGACATTTCTTTGAGATTTTTTGTCTTAAGGAGCTAAAGACAGTCTTTGGCCTTTAAAATATTTCTCTCCTCATAAACATGTGTAGTCGAATTTCAGCATCACCAAAATGTGAGTTCATTTTCTGTATATCGTTTATATGGCCACCTTATCTTTGTCTTTCATCAAAGTGCAGTTTTAAGGCCACAAACCCCAGTTAATTTTTCCCTTTGAAGGAATACATCCAGAGAAATACTACGTTGGTTTTTTATTTAGATCAAAAATTACAGAATCCTGTGGAGAATTCTTCTTGCACACTCAAAGGAAGAGAGAAGAAAGGGGACAGGAAGAGAGAAGGAGTGAGCAGATCCACTGCATGTTCAGCTATGAAGGACATCACAAAATTAAAATGTACAAATCGCAACTTGAGCTGATAGGGAATTCCAAAAGCCTGTGTATTTTGTTTAGACTCAGAAGGTGGGATTGAGACATGAGCCCTTATCCTTGCTGTCAGATTGTTGCTATCGTTCATGCCATGGAGCCAGCCTCAACTCATGGCGACCCCACGTACAACAGAGTAAAACGTCACCCTGTCCTGTGCTGTCCCCGCAGGCGTGGGTACGCTCCAGTCCGCTGTTGAAGCCACTGTGTATTTTCAGTGCTTTCCAACCTAGGGGACTAATCTTCCAGCACTGTCTCAGACATTGTTCTATTGTGATCTATAGGGTTTTCATTGGCTGATTTTTGGAAGTAGATTTCCAGGCCTTTCTTCCTAGTCTTAGTCTGGAAGTTCTGCTGAAACCTGTCTGCCATGGGTGACTTGGCTGATATTTGAAATACCGATGGTATAGCTTCCAGCATCATAGCAACGCAAGCCACCACAGGACAATAAACTGACAGACAGGTGGTGGTCCTTTCAGATTAAGGAAACGCTATTTAGATTTCTAGATAGCTGGACTCTTGAAGTGTGCATTCATTTGATTACAGCTACAGACAATACACCAGGGGAGAACTGGACAGGGTGCTGTTTGGGGTTCATGGGGCTATATGAGGAATCCATCCAGGTTTATAAATTACTTTTGTAACCCAAGTGTTTGCAGCCTGGATGTTCCCCAATTGTCAGCCTTCTTGTGTGTGTGTGTTTTTTTTTTTTTTAACGTTTTAAACTGATTTTAGTTGCCTTCCACGTATTGTGGGAAGACCAGTGGTCCTCCCAAGACTTGGGAAGACTCCCGGGGCCGTGGTCCCTTCTCACTCCTGATCCCCATTATGGTTATTCTATTCTTTGCCGTGATGACCCTAGTGTGGCTCTCCTCCCCTTTTCTTTTAATTTCCCACAGTAGCACCAACACCCAAGGACCTGTTGTTGTTGTTAGGTGCCACTGAGTTGATTCTGACGCATAGCAACTCCACGTGACAGAGTAGAACTGTCCCATAGTGCGTCCCAGGCGATAAGCTTTACGGAAGCAGATTGCCAGACATTTCTCCCACGGAGCCACTGGGTGGGTTCAAACAGCCAACCTTTCGGTTAGCAGCCGAGCACTTAACCATTGCTCCGCCAAGGCTCCTTTAAGTATCTATAGCAGGTAGCAAGTTGACTAAAGGTATGAGGAAAGAGAAAGGAAGGTGTGGTACATCACAGCCTGGCAAACAAAACTGGATATTGCGTGTCTTTATCTTCAAGGGGATTTCTGACTGTCTGCCATTTCTCCTTTGGCTCCAGGCCTTCTTCGATGTTCCTAATCTCTTCTCACTTCTCCACCTTCTCTTCATGGCCATGCTTGTCCTCCACTGTCTCCCAGGCAGCCAATGCAAGCACAAATCTTTCCCCTCATTCTGAGAGCGTTTCAGCTCTCTACGTTAGACGTCTCCTGCTTCACCCAGAAGCAAAGAGGGGATTGGTCTAAACTAAAGATACATACCTGAACAAAGTACTGATTCCCTTCATGTAAGTTATACCATTACCCTGGTGTCTTGGTCTCTGATGCCCCAGGGATCACAGGTTGCATCCACACTCATTCCTGAGAGTTGAAAAGTCCCCAGATGTGCTTCTCACCCCTGAACCAAACGAGTCGCCATCAAGTTGATTCCGACTCATGGTGACTCCATGGGTCTCAGAGTGGAACTGTACTCCACAGAGTTTTCAGTAGCTGATTTTTTTCTTTCTAGGCAGTTCTAGGTGGACTCGAACTTCCAGCCTTTCAGTTAGCAACTGAGCGTGTGAAGTGCCCCTCCTTGGATTGGACAAGGCAAGGCTTCGCCTTTCCACTTCTGAATTAACATCCATCTTCTTTCTTCCTCTCAGATCGCCCAGGGCTCGCCTGTGTTGAAAGAATAGAAAAATACCAAGATAGTTTCCTGCTGGCCTTCGAACACTATATCAATTACCGAAAACACCATGTGACACACTTTTGGCCAAAACTCCTGATGAAGGTGACGGACCTGCGGATGATCGGCGCCTGCCACGCCAGCCGCTTCCTGCACATGAAGGTGGAGTGCCCCACGGAGCTCTTCCCCCCTCTGTTCTTGGAAGTGTTCGAGGACTAGACGGACTGGGTTCATTCCCATAATTCCTACAGCACTGCTGGGTGTCGTCTCATTCCATTGCCTAGCTCTTTGTTTGTTTCTTTCTTTGTTTCTTTGTGGTGGGGGGATTATTTTGGGGAGAAAGGGAGACAGTTCTTGGCATAGACATGGATGACATTGCCCCTTGAATGCGGGTACTTGTAACTATTGCGTTTTGTTCTCCAGTCCTTCGATGTGAATGCTTTGAAGGCTTTACAGTTGTGGGGGTGGGGTGGGGAACCATCATTAATTCACCAGCATCAAGCCATCACCAGCTCCCATCTGTCCCTGATCAGAAACTCAGCAAGCAAAATGGCGCCACAGAAGTCTGCTGCTGTCGTCAGTTGCTGTCGAGTCGATTGGGACTCATGGCGACTCCATGTGTGCAGAGTAGAACTGCTCTATAGGGTTTTTAAGACTGTGACCTTTTCGGAAGCAGATCACCAGACCTGTCTTTTGAGGTGCCTTCGGGTGGGTTCCAACCGCCAACCTTTCGGCTAATAGTCGAGTGCTTAACCATTTGCGTCACCCAGGGCAGAAGACTAAAGAAGCCTTAAAACCAAGATACTATTGTAGTCTTGATCCAATCCTGATTTTTGCAGGGCTCAAGCTAGCAGAACACAGACCACCTCTGATTAGATAATGGCTTTCAGCTTTGTAGAGAAAGGTCGGAACACATTTGCAACTATTCAAGAGCTTAATGTTTTCGGAGGCCTTCCTTCTCTCCTAGAAGCATAACTTAAAATGCACAGGAATATTTGTGCCCTGTAAAATTAGCCATCCTTTTCAATATAATTTTTATAACCTTATGATTTAACTCACACGATACAAGGGAATGACTCAAAGATGACCTATTGAGGCCAATAAGGGAAAAGAAAAAACTTTTTCAGTGAGCCCCAAGAAATTAGAAATGTTCACCAACGTCGGGAACTCAACAGTGTCCCAAAATTCACATAGCATTACCTCACAGTAGGAAAGCTTCTTTACAGATTAGGCTCAGAGAAAATTTCCACACAAATCAAACTTATTTACAGGATGTTGTCACTTTTCAATGGCATCTGATCTGACATCTTCCAAGCTCCAGAAGTTATTTACCCTGATTGCATCTTTGCTGAGCTGACAACAGATTTCCCTATGGATCAAATCTTCTAATCAAGGAGACATAACAAGCTGAAATTTGAGTCTCATTCTGGAAGAATTTTGAGGAAAGATTAGCGCGATTACATTTTTGAGTCGAAGGAAACTGCCGTGTTCTGAGTGTTCCTTCATGTACTGATGGTTTGTGACTGCTTCCTGCCAGTCTTAGATCCTCAAGCTCTTTGCTTGACTCACACATGTTTCCTGTCCTCATCTTCCCTCTGAGTCCAAGGCATTAAATAGCATGACTATCACTAAACAAAGACAGAAGATACTGGTCCTGCCACTGACCCTCTCTGTCCTTCTGGTAGCATTGTCCTGACTGATGCTACTACTACTCCCCGATGTCAGAGTCAATTCCGACTCATAGTGACCCTACAGGAAAGAGTAGAACTGTCCCCATAGGGCTTCCAAGGCTACAAATCTTTACGGAAGCAGACTGCTACATTGTTCTCCTAAGGAGCAGCTGGTGGGTTCGAACCACAGACCTTTCAGTTAGCAGCCGAGCGCCTAACCACGGCGCCACCAGGGCTCCCACTGACTGACACTCATAGAAAATACCCGCAGACCATGCGCACGTACACTCTCCCACCCCCCTTACCCAACCACCTCCCCTACGCTGGAGTAGCTTGTGCCCACAAAACAAATGGTGACACCTCATCACTTCAACTTCAGAAAATGGGCAAAGAATGTACCCATGCAATTGAATGTACCTCATCTTTCACTGGCATAGTAGATATAAGCTATTCCTTTGCCTGCCTTTTACTGCCTTATCCTGGAGACTCTGGGGAAAATAAGCCATATCAGTGAGGTTCACCTGAAAACAAAGGAATGTAAGTCACTGTGAAAACCAAGTTGACTAATTTTTTTTTTAAGTTTGGTGGAGCATTAACTGGCCCAGAAGTCAGCGTGCCTGAGTTCTAGTTTGTGCTGTGTCCATTGGTAGATGTGTGATTTTGGCTCTTGGTTGTCTCACCTGCTGAGTAAGTCGTTTGGATTAGATGATCTCTAAACCCTTCCCATCTTTACTATTGTATGAATTTCCAGGGGGCAAATCTGGTTCTGTTGATGGTTTCTTTCATATTCACACTTCTAGCTTTATTCGACAAAAGCATGGCCTTATTAGCAGTTAAGAAAAGTGTATTTGATGTTGGTTCAGGATAATGTTGAAGTTGGCACAACACTAAAAGACTATGTAGAAGAAGGTAGCATGGCCTTGGAAAAAGTCGGAGAGATACAGCACTGAAAACCCCAAGTATGATCGAAATAATCTGGGGGAAAGTTCTATGTTTAATGAACTGAAGCAATTATTCTGGCTTCTGGGAAAAAGGAAACAAGAGTATCACCATGGATCTTGCTAACTAACCAGAGAAAGGAAGTAGGTGATAAAATGAAAATTATAAGCACGAAGGTCACGGGTAGATTACCTGCCTTGACTTTATCTACATATAGTTTTTTTTTTTTTTGGTTTGGCTTTTTCTAGTTAGCCTCTAGCCATTCTCCTTGAGTGCTTACTTTACCAACATCTCAGCAACCTCTGTGCCCTCTCCTTGGAGAAGTACTCTGAAGCAGAAACATTGAACCGCCTTCTATGCTCCAGGGTGACTCAGAGAACATTTGTGGTGTGGGTGAGGTTTGCCCTCAGAAGGGACTGAGAGGAAGGCCAACAGGCGGTATGCACTGGAGGGGTTCACAGACTCCTCAGTCAGCCTTCCCCGGCAAGTTTCCTCGTTTTGTTTGACAATCAGCCCTTACGTCAGACACACCCACATTCAAATGTAAGTACAGAGCTGATCTACAGCTAAATCAGAATGCTTTGGGGATTAACTATGCTTGGGAATTGGCCAAACAGTTCAATATATCTACAGTAACCCAGCCAGTCCCAAGTAAAGTCATGTTTGGCCCTCAGCCCCTCAAATGATTGCCTCAAACAGGCAAACCGCTGGTCCAAAAATCTTGTTGGAGGCTTAATACTGTACGCTGAGTAGGACAAGCACGAGTGTACTTCAGGTTGACAGAAAAGGCTATAAGGACTCAAAGGATTAGGACTCTGGTGGTCAAAGTAACTAAACTCATTCCTTGTGTAACTAATTGAGGTACTTAGAGCATCTCAAAACTCCATCTCATAAGACTTAATCGTGAGGGTTTCGCTCTGGATTTTAATCCCTTTTTTTTCCTTATATCGTCAGGACTTTCAAATCCATTGTGAACCTGATTGAAACACCCTTCCCCATCCGTCTCGCACGGTGGGGAGACATCCCAGTAGAGTAGAACCCGTCTGTACTACTGGGATTCATATTTATAAATCAGTTAAAGTTTGGAGATGAGTGGTGTGGGGGGTGTGTGTGTGTGTGTGTGCGCGCGCGCTTGTGTGCCCCTCAAGTGTACTTTGCTCTTCAGTGTAGACGTGCAGTATTTCCAGAAATAGTGAAAAAAAAATAAGATCTTTTATTCTTTATGGTTCTGCTCAAAACACCACGTGCCGCCTCAGAGCTTTTTCTAGTCAAATGAGCCTCGGTCGGTCCTCAATGACACGCTTGACGTGTTGACGCCTCAACCTAGCGATGCCCCCTCCCCTGTGTCCTGAGTGATGACCCTCAGCCTGCAGAGTGGTCACAGGGTGGACGGGCCGCCCCGGCTCTGCCCCAGCAACGCTCTTCTAGTTGCTCTTGTGTGAACAGGTGTGCAAGCTTCGTCCGCTCCTCGACAGTAAGCCCCTCCCCAGACTCAGCCTCCACGGAAGTGCTGAGCACCCTCAAAGCATGTCGTCAGTGATACATTTTGATTCTATGGAACTCTAACCTGTTCGTGTCATATTGACCTTTTGCTGCATGAATCATAAATTATGAAATCGGTCTTATGGTTTTTGAAACGTAGCCAGCATTTATAAGGCTAAACCTTTTTCATGAACTGAGTTGAAGAGAATAATCAAGCCACAGCCCCTCTCTGAAAGGAGAGTGATGCAGACATTTGAATCTCTTTGCCCTTTTCAATGGCTATAGCATCAGGTTCTAAAATAAGCTCATAATTTTTCCTGTTATTTTAATAATATGGAAATATTAGCATAGTGTTTCTTTTGATAGCAATAGACTATAATCCATATTTAAATTTTATAGAGAAGAAATTTTATTGTACTGTGATGTAGATATTTATTACCCAGGTAAGGATTTGCCCGGTGTGTATTTTTTACAATTGAAACATTTTACTTTAATCTTTAAAAAAAAATTAAACACACACACACACACACACACACACACAAAGACTAGGAAAAAAGGTTTGGCCTTGTCACAGAATTTTTACTGTGCTGTATAAATGTTTGCAAATGCAAAACGTGTGCATTATAATGTGTTTCCACATTAATTCATATTGCCTTTGAGAGCAATATCGTGCAGGTAAAACGCTGTGTGTGGCTTTCTGTTGCACAGTTAAAGCTGACCCACCTTATGCACAAGACAATCAGATACAAATCTGTCCTCCTCAGGATGCAGATAATAGTCATGTAAATTACGGAGCACAATGTAAGACAAGAGAAGACACTTTATTTCATTGTACAGGTGTTGTTGATAGAGAAAAGTATCAGGGCATGAATCAACTGACGTTATGCCATTTCTTTCTTTTGGGCCTTCCTGATTGACCTGGTAGTGCAGTGGTTAAGTGCTAAAGCAGCTAACCAAAAGGTCAGCAGTTCGAATCTACCAGCCACTCTTTGGAAACCCTGTGGAGCAGTTCTACTCTGTCCTATAGGGTCACTATGAGTCGGAATCGACTCAATGGCAACGGGTTAACAGGAATTGACTTGGCATTTTTAATTTGAGCATAGAGCCAAATTTGTTCTCTATGCTCTCTTCAGAAAAAAACACTTTCTTTTTCCA